AGGAATCAGTAAAAACAACTCTTAGTTCTTGATTATAAGTCTTGTTTAATTAATCATAATTGAAGATGAAACGAACTTCCTGAATTGAAGATCGATAACAATTGTAAGAGCGTTTTCATTCTTAGTGATTCATGTTAATCATTCGTGGGTAGCCTCTCCTAGCATCACATTTGCTATGTATTTTAAATAAATTATAAATATCTAAGAATAATCTATAATTATATTTATTTCTACCAACATTTAAATCCACTAACTAGCTAATCAACTGATGAGGTTTCTCAGGGATCCTCATTCCGTGCCGAAACTTTTGCATGTCATCAATAATAGTTAATATTCAAAATCAAAGTTGAGGAAAAACGCAAAGAAATCCCAATGAAGCAGATATTTTTAAGAAGATACAAAAACTAAAAGAAAAACAAGGTAAAGATTACATAGCTCCGACAACGCACCTATAAGTGTATTGATTTTAATTATGTGAATTGTCCTTTTTTAATGTTATTTCTACCATTCTTAAAAATATTGGGGTTTAACTTTGAGATTATCAGGAATAGTCCTACAAGTAAACAGTAGTGTGAATCTATGTATAAACATAGTTACACTCGTGCCTATTGATACTACGTCTATTAACGGACACACACCAGTGCCTCCATGGGAAATTATTCCCACATATCCTCAAGAGCCTAAATTCTCAACTACTTCGATTGTATCAGTAGAGCCTAACTTATTAGTGGAATATTATAATGAATCTTATCAGATTGAAACTTCGTAGTTTTTTAAATATAAATATAAGTCACGTCTCTTTGTAATTTACCTTAAAAAACTCTTAAATCGATAATCATCATAGATATTATACTAAGGAATGTACATATAATTTTTATCTATATTTCATTTGTCTTCCTAGTTAAGATTCGTATGTAACATTTTTAAGGCTTTGAAGAAAATAAATATTCGAATGTTGTGTGAACAAAACAAAGTAATAACGAATATAATTATATTTTACTGTTGTAAGCATCAAAAAATAGTATAATACATAAACATAATTTTAATTACATATACAATTTAATAGACGTACAGTGATTTGCATGAAAATTTGAGCAGGAAATCCGTTAAACATGCGAAATACATTATGAAGGCGTGTTGAAACACTTGGATCTGTAATATATTACCAGAGATTGTAACAAAAAATATATGTCAATTACACTGAAAACATCTTAACGATAATAATTAACTGAAATTATTTTTTACTTTGTAAGTATTCTAAGGTATTAATAACTAATTTCATTATAATATTATTTCGCTTATTAATTATTATTGTATAAAAATAGCCGAACATCAATTTATTCAAAATTCCTCAACGTCAACTTAAATCCATGCAATTCTCTTCTTTTAAACGTTTATTTGACTTACAATTCCGCCAATTCCCCATTTCCTCTGTTCACGTTACCTCGTTTAATCATCACGTGTACCAACAGCGCTCTCTAGTGAGGTAGCAAAGAGTTGAATTACCGCTTTCGCCTCCCGGGGATTATTTTAGTGCACCTACTAAAGGATCTCGTTTGGGTAAATAAATAAAGTCAGATTTTTTGTTCTTAGAATATATAAACTGTTTACCTTATATTTATTTAATGTGTGTATTTGTTTCACTATAAACAGATTATCTTTTAAGTTAGTAAAAATGAGAGATGAATTTTCGCATAATATGATGTATGTTAAGTCTCAAAAAATAACTTTTTAATCTTAGCTAAACTTACAGTTTGTTATTGATTTTCTGAGTATACTTTGGCTTCGAACGGAAACAAATTATTTTTAAAGACGTTCATCGAAAACCAATGGTATAATGAACATTCGGCATAGTAGCATTGGAACGGTGAAAAATTTTTAACTTCCGTAAATGGCCGGGTTGCAACGATCGTAAAGCAAAGGTATTGCTAAGCCGATTCCAAGCGAAGACCGCTTACGACTCTTGCCAGAAAGTAAAACCATTTCTCGGTCTCTGGTTTTGTTTATTAATGTGTACTGAAATGAAATTGGATAGTTGCAAATATTAACTGAAATAAAATATTAGTTGTTGAATTGAAATACTAACTGTAAAAATTTTTTCTTTCCTTTCTTTTAGTTTTATTATTAGAAAGTTATATTTTTAATTCTAAAGTAGGTATACTTAAAATTATTTATTCCAATACGTAGGATTACACAAATAATTAGAACCATTTAATTGTTTTTGAAAGAGTGACGTCAACATTATTGACTGACAGCCTTATTTCTTAATTATCATCAAGCTCTCAGGTTATGAAGGTAAGGTAGTATCTACGAAGATTGTTTGACGAATTCTTTATTTCGAAGAGGTCCGATCCCACCAAGGGTTCTAGCGAGAACGTCTTTAGTTTGTACTCTCACCTCTATTTAAATGAACCAACACTCATTTTTCTGACTGTACTTTCACAGGTGAATACGCAGGTGGCTATGTAGCATGCTGCTCAGCGAGCAGTACAGGGAAGCCGTCTCCTCCGTTTGCAAAGCAGTCATTCTAGTTAAGGAGGATGTAAAGTGCGTGAGGAAAGGATCCTCTTCATGCCCTAGCCATCGCAAAAGACGCTCCAGACTCTGGGGATCGCGAGACATTCTCCAGTCACCGTCAGCGCAGGTAAGTGTATGGCGAGCAAGCATACCTCGCCATCCGACCAGAACAAGATCCGATTGTATAGCGCGTAGCATACCGCCGGCTTCTAAGAGCCATCAGACCACCATAGGTAGAGCCGTAAAGCTAATTTCAAGCCGGGCTGCAAACGTTATGAAATAACGCGACCCGTTCGGAATAGGAAAAGGTTTTTAGTTGCTAAGACCCTGACACTCCCTCTTGCCTCACTCATGGCAAGAGGGGACATATGATGATTTTCCTCCTAAAAAACGGTGGTTATGTAGGTGACACTTAGTAACTTTAACAATCCATAGTTTTTAATTATGTTAATAAAAGGTTTTCGCTCTAATATATATTTTGGTATTACTATTGGTAGGTAGTAAATTAAAATTATATTTCTAGATATCAAAATCCCTGATCTAATATTAAGAACAGGCTTTAATAATAATTACTTTAACTTTATTAATTTATATCGCTTCGTCTTATTGAAGATTTGGATAATTATGGAACGCTCTGATTTCTGAGGTTTCATTTCAAAGTAATAAAATTTGGTCAATGCCTAAAGTAAAGTAGTTCACCCACCAAATACCAAGTTTTCTTAACGTTACAACTAAAATTTATACTAAGAATCAATAATGATCGATGCCAGAACACATATTGAATGTATTTTAATAATTGAACCTTAATATAATATATTATGTTGTCTAGTATTTGATACTTAATACATATTAATAGGGGTTATTCGGTCAGAAACGACCTGGTGACTCTTCAGCGTAGGCGGTTGCCTAATAGGTATTACATGTAAAGTGCTAACTATAACTGGGATTGCTGTGTCAGCAGTTGTTCAAAGGCTAGAGATATAGACCCATGATAATATTACTTATTTCTATTAGTCATGCCAACATTTATGAATGTCTGTAATATATTGTATAAATCAAAATAGTTACTTAATATGAGTTCATAAGAAAAATAAACTTTTATACTGTTACAAAATCGATAACTGTTTGGGAAATGTTAATGAGAACTAAATTTTAATTTTTCGAGATATATATATTTTAAAATATTTTCAATAATACATATATAATGTAACAAATAAAATTAAAATCATGGTATAAATATATTTTGAGGTATAGGGCCATACCGTACTAAACTTATGCTGAACGCGACAACAATCAGTAAGACATTGGAAAACCTTGATTCTATCTATGTATATCTAACTACATATAACAAAGTGGCATTAACCAATTAACATAAGATAGAAATCTTTAATATAAGTGATATATTTTAAATTATTTCTGTGACACGATACATTATAATTACAATACCTTTTATAGAAACTGCCAGGGGATAGCTAATTACGCCATCATTAAAATATTATTCGTGTCTATTTGGAAATGCTTAAAAGGCCAATTAATCTAGAGGTACGTATTAATCGTAGCCGCAAACGGTTGGTGAATACATTTGGCATTCTAATTAAGCGAGTCCGAGTTATAACTAAATTCAAACTAATTGTTATTTGTGTGTTTAAAATTATTGTTCGTTAATTCATTATTTGTTACTGTATTTGTACCGGCTCATTTATTATAAGTTATGAGAACAAAATAAATATCTTTTATGAAAATTCCAAATAGTATTTTAAGGTTCAAACTAATCTCTGTGTGTTCTTTTAGATCCTTTTAATTTAAAATGCTTGAAGATACCGAGTTAAAATTTATATCCATTACTTTCATTCCTCTTTTATTATAAGATTTTAAATCAATTCAAAGATGACTGCTGATGCTGTTTTTATAACTTACTATTTCCTACGGGATTTAGTATTAGTAGATGTTTTTATGTATCAAGTATCTCAAATTAATCTTTTGTATTCATAAATACAAGGAATAGAACACTTTTATTTACATTCATACCATAAATGTTTTGCTACAGTTATAAAAAGATATTGAGATATAAAGCAAGAACGTTTAAAAATATAAATCTGAAAATATTTTATGACCCGTGTGTAATTAACACTAAATCGAACTCGCAAGAGCCATTACCCGCAATTCCGCAACGGAAACCATTGCCTTTTTATTTCCATTCAACTTGGCGTCAGCATGTTCTATAATCTGTAATAGAACAAAAGTTCTACAGATGCACTTAACTGCGGCCTTCGCTTTATTAGAGTGCATATTTCCACTGTTTTATTTGAATAAAACGTTCAATATTAGATACTTTTACAACATTTTATTATTATATGTAGATAAAATTATAAAGAAACTTTATATAGATATTGGTAATCATTTCTATCATTATTTGCTCTTTGTTTGTTTAAATTTTAAAGTAATTTAGAAAATTCATTATTTTCAATACGAATTGATATATCCTGGGGAAATCCCATGATGACATAGTGACATCGCTCCCAAAAGATGAAGATGCCCCCGAGCTAGAGTCACGACTTCAATTCCATAAGCAATTTATGATAGGAGCGCAAAGTAACAGAGCGGGGTTAGGATCAAATAGGAAAGTCCAAGATGCGGATATATTGAAGTCTTTTATTCGGCAAGACGAGAATGATAAATATAAGATCCATGCAATGAATTTAGAAATGCAGAACGAGTGGTTAGACATAGGAGATTTTTGCATCCCATTAGCATTAAAATGGCGCACTTTAATTTATGATTGGTCGCCAGCATTGCTAAAATTCTATCTCAATGCGTTCCAGATGACTCTCCCAGATCAGAGTAATTTAGTAAGATGGGGTAAAAGTACCGAAAAAACTTGCTATATTTGTGGAAAGGCAGTTGGAACTGCTAAGCATCTGCTGGTGGGATGTAAGGTACTCCTGGACAGCGGTCAATACTCGCGTCGTCACGATAGGGTTCTAGAAGTCATACGTGAAGCGGTTAGTCTTTCGGTAGCCAGAGCGCAAAAGGGAATAACCACAAAAACGAACGATCAGTAGGTTTTGTGAGAGAAGGCTCTAGGGCTACAAAATCAAACGTCAAGCCTTACTCCATCCTTAAAGCGGCGTCGGATTGGACTATAATGATGGACACGTATGAAAAACAATATAAAATCCCCGAGGATATTTGTGCGTCGGCCTCCAGACCGGATATATTTTTGTTTTCGCGAATTTTAAAGCGCGTAATGATGATAGAGCTTACGGTCCCTTGGGAAACCAACATCCCCAAAGACCATACCATCAAGGTCAACAAATATTACGAGCTCACAAACGAACTCACTCGAAATAGGTTCGTAGTAGATTTGTACGCGGTAGAGGTGGGAGCGAGAGGTATAACAGCGAAATCTCTCTATAACCTACTAAAGGACTTGGGCTTGTCCAGAACTCACATTAATGCATTCTTGGAACGTACATCGAAGGCAGCCCTAGTAGGTTCTTTTCAAATTTGGTTAGGTAGGGAGAGGAGCTTGGACAGTGGAGGTGAGCGTATAACGCGCGTTAGTTAAGGGGCCCCTTAAACCTACACTTGGGTCGCAAGTCCCAGGCACTGTTGAAGCTCCTCCCCCTGCAACGCGATGGACCCGGCACCCGCACGGTGAATCCATGGAATGCTGAGAAGTTTCGTCTTGTTTAATATGTGTATACATCTGCCATCAAAATTTACTCAGTATATTTTTCAACATAGAGATAATATTCAAAATGTTCATAGTCAAGTTTTTTCTTCATTTTCAGTTGAATTTCAACTCGTTTAATCATCACACATGCATCGCCCTCGTGGAAAAGAGATGAATTACCGCTAACACTTCCTGAGTATAAAAGACTTCACCAACAACAAAGGCAAATGTGGCAAACGTGGTTCTTTTTAGCGGTCCTGTTTGGTTTATAGGCTATTATAATTTCGATAAAACAAGTTCTAGTTTAAAATATATAATATACAAATATTATAATAAAATATTAAAATAAATTAAACATAAAACATGTCTGGCAGTGAATCTCACATGGCTGAAGATAGATAGATAGAAACATAAAAACACCTTTACGAAGTTTTACATTTCACTTCAAAATAATTGTTATATGTTATAGAACTGTTATATGGTTATACTTTGAAATTATTTGTTAGTCTAAGGACGATTCGTATTTTCATTATTTTAAAATGAAGTGACTTAGTCGTAAAATAAAATGGTACCTTAACCACTCTAAATCATTTGTTCATTTATGCTGGATTGTTAACAGTATTCTTAATAACTGCTGAAATTATTGTTATTCATTTTAGATTTAAACCACTTTTTAAATTCTTAGCAAACAAAATAAGTGTTTATAATATATAACACTTTCATGAAATAAGAAATGAAGTAATAAACGCAGAAATTAATTGTACAACCGATTTGATGAAAATACTTAACTAATCAATATTTGAATAACTTTATCTATTGAAAGTAAATTATCTAAACTATCTTGAATCATAAAATTTATGGTAATATTATACATATTTTTGGAAAACATTGTTTATAAATTTTTGTAACTTTATATTTACGTTTCATTGAACACCAAATAATTTACACAAGTGATTAAAAGAAATAAAAGACAAACACGTTGATATACAAAAAGAGTTCTTATTGCCTAATGAATGTGTACGAACAAAAAATTAAAACTCCCATCATTCAGATTTAAAGCACCATTAATCTTCTAAATTCATATAAAGGGTCAGCGAAGTCAAAAAAAGGATCAGTTCACTGAGATTTTGAATTTCAGCCGATATTTTATGTCCCTTTAAATTTAAGGTAATATTATTTTTTCAATGAGAAAACATTTACCATTTATCTTTTTACAGCCATTAAAGTTCAATTCTTAGTATACTTTCAAAATTATGGGGTGCGTCATCATACTATGTACTTACATTTCAAAATAACTTTGTACAATTTTGGACTAGAATGTAAAGTTTGGACTTCGATCCTAGCCATCATTAGAGCGATATTCGGTATTCAATAAGATTATGAAACTCCGTTGTTGTTAGTTATGTTAGTATTAGCTGTTCAGATGCTTTCAGCTTTCAGTTGGTTTTATAAGTATGGATTACATCGTAGTATGATATTGTCCACTATTAACTTTGACATTTTATAGTTTAAGCCTGCTTGACTTATATATATTGGCACAACTTGGATGAGCATAATTTTGAGGTCATATCCCAAGCATGAAATTTAATAAAACTGATTTTAAGTTCCGTCACCAATTCTACCTGTTAATGATTGGTTCAAACCAAAATATAGATGTTTTTTCTCATTGATAAATTGTATTCAAACAATTTTCAGTCTAACGTACAAAAAAATAAAGATGGATTTGTTATCTAGGGTGCAAAAGGTGAATTTTCTTAATACATTTTCCGCAGTGATAACAAAGTTCAAAGCAACAATGAGAGAAATTCATTTTTACCCATTGAATAATAAAAAGTAGGGTCACGAAGGAAAAACTGTTTTATTATTTATTGGATTTTAGACGAGTAGGAACCATAAACAATATATAACATTTTGCTAACAGCTCAAGTACAATATTAAAATTTATAGAAATTTTATTCTGATATATTGCAGGACAATATAAGATTATAAATGTTTATGTACAATAGATTACGACACCGTTTATATTTTTTTTATTATAACTGAATAAAAAAATAGAAAACTGATCGCACTCGAGGGAAACTTCCTTAACAACCATAGATAACTCAGCCTTTGATATAACTAACAGAATGCAAGGATGTATATATGTATAAATATGCATAATTTATCTATACAGCACAATGAAAAGTAGATAAGCATATAATTTGTATTAATACAGGCAATATTTAATAAAATTATGTAGTCAGATTAAAGTGACACACATATAAATATTTATTTATAACAAAACACATGCGCTGGGTTTTCATTCAATAGCTTTCCATCTGATGAAAGAACAAAGTACCTAATCAAAATTATGACAGCGACGACAATAATAACAGAGAACAAATGAAAGATGCATAGCATGTTTAGATTCATTTGAATATTTTATAAAATCTTATCATAAACCTATAAAAGAATGGAATAGTTAATAAAATATTTACAGAACTGTAATCAAAAACTAACAACTCTTTATAAAAACTATATGGAATGAAACACATTATAAACAATATTTTTGTGTGAGATAAAAAACATTGACGAATAAATTAGTAAAACACTAAATTGTGATTAAGAGTATGGAATATTTAAAAGTTTTTAATACAACCTATGATTAAATCAACATTTTTGCCTGAAAATTTATGTTTTTCTCGTAACAAAGCTTTGATTATGTCAACACCGTCTCTTATCAAACGATTTGCCGACAAAATGTCCAATAGATGAGACCCGTGGAAAACAATAATTTTGTTGTTTTTCGTTTAATATTCTCGATTACTTTCTATAATAAAAATACGTGGGTAATATTTGTATGCAACAAAAATAAAATATATTTATTTATATGTAACAAGGTCGTTATTATAGAAGCAAAACGAATTGAAGCGCGTTACCAGTTTGATGGCATCAATCTGACAGCAATGATAACATTTTGAAACATTCAGAACTATAAAGAAATTTACCTAATGACAACGTTGCTTTAACGTTGTAATAATCATGAGATATATACTCTAGCTAGTAATTCATTTCCTTTGAATTCAATGCTGACTTAGTGTTCAAAGTTTTTATGGTATACAAATACTTATAAATGTGATTACTGTATTTTCGTTGTATTCTTTCAGCTCGATTAACTCACAAAACCTATACAATGCATGAAAATTCTATTATACACATACAAACAAACATATATTTTTTGGTGTGGAAACTTCAAACAATGAATTTATCTTACCTTATATTTTGGAAACATAATATAATGATGGACTTAACAACTGACAATTCATTATAAAATATTATTTATTTAATTGAAAATTTTAAAATTTATGTATATTCTAGTTTACAAAAATAGACTTACGTACTTTAAGAAAAATCAATTCAGATAACTCGTCATAAAATTATAATACAGGTTATGGTATGGAACTCACAAAGTAATAATGTTTACGTCATTAATAACGTTTTTACGCTGTTTTCGAATTGTATCAGTTTTATAAATTTGTTTTGATTCTCAATTTTATATTTATTTATGTGGAATGAGTTTTTATATAGTACACTGCATCAATCTACGTACGTTCTAAGTCGCAACTCGTGCTCATTGCGTATAATGTGAAAAAGGAATACAAATAAGTTGTTTTTTTTTGCTACATTATTACTGGTTACTGGGGTACAATTGTATTGCTAGGACAGAATAATATTTTATTTTAAAATTGAATTTTAATGGCTTTTTCAAAATTTTATATACATTTGTGGGGACATTTTAAAACGAGTAACATCGTGATGAAACACAGATTTTGGGAATGCAATTCTTAGAGGTATTATTGGTCACGCACAATATCTGTAAGGAACGCAAACGAACGCAAACGAACAAAAGAAAAACCTACTCAACTATGCAAAAAAGACGGTAAAGCTTTTACGAATATCCTTCAAAACTATGTGAATTTTAGGGATATCATGAGAAAACTAAAACGAATAAAGACATAGTGATAATGTGATAAAAAGACACATTCACAAGCTACTAATATCTAATTTACATTATATCTAAGTAATTTTCATTTTTTATTACTTTCACATTCAATAATACAGACATTAATTTTTAGATTTTCTAAATGCTTGATTAAAAATTCATATACAGCATCTTTATTTTATACATATGTAAATTACAACTGAGGTCAATAAAAATGAAATAAATGAGAAAACCTACGAAAGCCTCTTAGGAACTGGCCCATAACATTAACATAAAAGAACTGAACTAAAGAAACTATAAATAAAAAAGGCGAGAATGTGTGACAGATTGTGTATCGTATAAGTGTTTATGGAGGCTTGCCACTTGGGAACTTTTTACCTCTTCCTCCTTTACCTGGGCGGTTAAGTTTCGAAGTTTTAGTGGCGAATAGGCAAAGAGATGACAACGTAACGAATTGTTTTCCTTTTCTTGGGTGTTGTTCCATTTCTTATAAAATTTTCTACTTTTGATAAAATTGGCCATTGAGATTTGTGAGATGGTAAATTTGGTGACGCTCTTGTTTCTCTGTTCGCGATATACGCATTGAAAGTATAGGATATAATAATCAATATATGTTTTTGTTTCAAAAGAAAGCTCAATGAACAATTCGGAATAATATACTTTTTATTGTGTATTTTAGAACTTGGCAACAACTAAGGAGCATAAAATTTTAAATTGTAATTATTAAACTTAAAGAATTTGAAAAAAAAAATTAAGGTCGATTTAAAAATAATTTATATGATCTTAAGATTGAAATTTGATTTAGCACAAAATTCGGTTACATTTGTTTTTTTTTATTGCAAAGATTTTCCCGTCCTTATTGTAAAATGTCGGTAAATAATAAATATGTTAAATGAATAAAATACATTACGAGAACAAATGTCATGATAAAATATATATCAATCGTGTATGTAAAAATGTATAAGAATATATTATATGTTGTAAAACTTTATAAGCTGTCATTATTTTAGTTATTTATTATATTTTATTTATTTTATTAATTACTTACAATTTATTAGCCTAGTCATATTGAAATTATCATAATAATTACGTAATTTTTATGTCGGAATCATAAGAGTTCCTTGCTTTGTGTCTCCTAGCCTAAATGTTTTGTGCGTTGCATCAAGGGGTTGAATTTTCCCAAAACTCAACACTTTAGGGAAACCCGGACAAGGGAACTCCATTACTTCTTACGACCCGTCCCGCCTAAGGTTTTTATGTTGGAGTTACCAGTCATAAATCATTATTTGTTCGAATTGTTTATTAGTTTTCCTTCGATTTATAAAGCAGATCCTGTAGAGATATCCTTATGAGGGGTATATCTTTCGAATACTAATAATTCTTTACGTATCCACTTCTTATATTCCAAACGGAGCCTTTAATTTACAATAATAAAATTATTAGTTTTTAAGTTTTATAAGGATATCGTTTACATGGTTTTGTTATTTGAATATAATATAGATGTAATCATAGCTTTCATTTGCTCTTATTACTTTTGTTGTATTCTCAAATCCGTCACTCGTTAAAGAGAGCGAAAATACTTTGAGAATTTATTTATTTAAAAGTTTTCTAGTTCTTATACTAAAATTTATGTTATTCTTATTCGC